GCTTCCGTCCACCTTCCCATACTTGGCAGGCACGCCTTTCTCAACCCAGTCGACCGCCCGTCTCAGGTCTGAGGCTTTTGTCTGACCCCCTGAGAACGCTGTGGCGGCCGATGCGAAGTCCTGTCCGATGGCCGCGGATGGTGGGCCGCTGGCGATCACGAAATATCCATGGCTGGCGATTTCGTTCAGGAAGTTGGGAACACCGTTCCGGAAGGGATGCAGCCTCATTCTCCGAAGATTAGCACTGGCAGTTCGACATCCGTCGGCGGCGTGAGAGGCGCATAGATGGTCATGTTAACCAATGTCGAATCGGTCGTGTAATTGGCTTTATAGGCTCCAGAGCCACCTGTCGTGTCAACCTTTCAGTGAGTCCCTCTGGAAGACCTGGAAGACCGCCAGGCCCCCCGCCTTGGAGGAGTTCGGTGAAGTTCAGGCCAGTGAGGTTGAAGCCGGGGGCACCGCCCCCTATTCCACCTCCCAATCCACCAAACAGGCTGCCCATAGGTCCATCAATATCAATGGGGATATCTGACGGTGATCCACCAACGGCCTGCGGTAGTGCCGCGCTCCACACTGAAGGGGCGAGGTAAGGAAGAGAAGAGACCGCATCGTCATGTCACGTTAAAGAAGCGTTGTGTAGCCGAAGTAGGTTCCGGTGGATGGGTTGAAATAGTTCAAAGAATCCGTACCAGACATCCATGATGAGTGCGGAACGAAGATCATATAGTCGCATCACAGAGTCCACAGATTAACATTATGGAGAAGAGGGAGAAGATGGGAAACTTAAGAGGAATTTTATATGTATTGTGTTGCACCTACATTGATTAGGACGAACGGAATTGAATGGTAGGACTGATGCATAACGAAAACCCAGCAGTCCAAGCACATTACATAGATCAGGGCTTGCTCGTCCTGGAAACCTATGGAAAACCGGATGCCGGTCCGGAGCATAGCCCTAATACCAAATCTATATCCATACCTCATACATACCTAATTCCCGAATTCGCCGTGCTCCTAATCGGTCAACGAGCGATTCCTCCTCACGGAATAGGCTCACGGCACTTAAGCGTGTCTCGAGTACAGTCGGTTTGCACCTATTTACCTGAAACCAGCTTCTAGAATCCTGACCTAGTAAGGGATGCCAAAGGAATTTCAAGCCGGACTAGAGCCAGAGGGTGCCAGATCAGGAATACACATAAGCAGAGAAACGCAAACAAATATGCAACTTGACTGAGAGAAGAAGCCAAAGAGATTCTGGAGAAATTCCGACTTGATACCCGTGATTTATCCTGAATCCATGGATGACTGTACTTGGTTGACGAGGATAGGACTGCCCTGCTTCTGGAGGTTATCTGTGAAAAAGAATGGTCAGTTATAGCCATTCTGAACGTTGATATAGTGGTAAAAAGACCATGACGGGAGTAGGACTTGCAGTTGTCAATGGATGTTGAAGTTTAGTTTAGATTTGTTGATCGTTTTGGCGTGTCAATCAATCACGCACAATTGGTAACCTGTCAGAGGTAGTGAGATGCTTGTATTCCGTCAGAAGTACATAGTTTACCTTGACGGTATATATACCCAGGCTTATGTGATCTTATGTAATCTACAAGGTGCGGTGACTAAGTAATAGCCGCGGATTTCCGACAAAGATTGGACGATCCGGATTGATTAATTCTTGCGCTAGTTCGGGCCAACATCGGTTGGCCCACGTGGGGATTAGATTGAACGACTGCCTGGCAGTGGCTCATGAGGCATAAACTCAGACAGATGAATGAACACGAATGAAAGCCCTCCGGTGAAGGGCGCATACAGCGCATCAGCTAGAGTTAGCAAATATCATTTCAATCGAGACTGTATGAACCGTGGCCGCAGCCTGGTTATCTCAGCAAGTCAGACGGCATCCAAGACATGGCCCCTGGTCTATACTATTCCACTAATAATGGTTTTGGGGCACCGCCGGTAACGAAACGAGGGCGTTTTGCCTAGGCGGAAAGACCGCAGAAAACGGTGTCAGAAACCTCCGTTTTTGGAGGCAGTTTCGATAGCACACATTACTCCGTACTACATAAAGGCATCTTGTTCCCTTGACTGCCCAGGCACCGAATTGACATGCTAATAGCCCAATATCTATTCCCCTAAACTCCAGTACCACTCGATCTATCGACCTTTCATAACCCGTTCACTAGTATCCTCGGTAACCCTCCCCAACCCAAGCCTATGGTATAATCCCCCTTT